TAAATACATAAATTTTTAATTTAAATTGTGTGCAAGACTAAGCTGTGTACTTTATATATTTCACCAGTTATTTTCATTTTATAAAGTTGGCATATGTGTGAATATAGAATTGAAAATTGACAGAATGGGTGCATTTTTCGCGTGTAGAACAAGAATTAAAGAAAGGCAGGAGGACAGAAGGAAGACAGAAAAATTTACCACTAGTTAGCTGCTTCTCTGCTTTTAATTTCTTTCCCCAAGTTCCAGAAACAAAGCAATCTCCTTGCCTCTCAGCATCTTTTTTTATTAAGCAGGGTAAACTGTGCTATGTCACAATTTTAAAAATCACTCTGAATTCTTGAGGGCTTAACACAGCTGAAGCTTATTTTTTTTTTCTTTTCTGCCCAGTGAAATGTGTTCATTTTTTGTCAGCTTTAGGCCCTGATTCATTTGAACACTCAGGATCCTAGGCTTAAGGTGTCTCCACCAACTGGGCTTTTACTCCCTGAGATATGTGGTCTTCTTTCAAGAGAAGAAACTACATAAAGGCTTCATACTTTCTTACTCTGTGCTATATTCCGTTGCTCAGAACTAGTCACATGGCCCACTTGACTTCAAGTACAGTCTCTCATGTACTAGAAATGAAAGAAGAACCAGATATTAGTCAACAGATATTATTGATTTCATATCCATTTGACCAATAAGATAAACTGTTATGTTGGTTTCAGTCTCATCTTTCTTACTCCTTCAGTTTATGTTCAGATTTTTTTTCTAAGTATTCCATTAACTAGTCAAGAAAATAGCAGACATTTATCCCTGTGACCAGGAACCTTCTCTGATCATCTGAGCAATAGCCCTCTGTTGGTTACCCAATTCTCCTGATTTTGCTGGAATAAAGGGAATTAGAACAATAGTCCCAAAATTAGAAGTTAAAGGAGTAGCCTAGAGCCATGAATATTTTTGTGTATGTGGAAAGGGCTAAGGTGGATAGGGAGAAAATGGGTTATTGGGAGCTGGGCAGCCATAAGCTACCTCTCTATCTTTCCTCATTAGTGTGAAGGCAAAATAGGAGACCACCTCCTCACTCCCCAAAGCTTTCATAATATCCCTCTTGGGATCTCCTTTTTCTTTTCTGGACTATCTTGGATGTTCATTTAGCGTGCGTCTACTTATGTACAAATGTTAAGAAGGAGAAGGCCATATGGATTCAATTATCACAAGCTTCCCCATCTCGTAGAAATAAACAGGAAAGACATAACTTTAAAAACCTTTTTGTTGTTGACTCTCTGTGCCTTACCCAGATATCTGGATATTTGAAAGTGAAATGAATATGTGTTGAGTAGGAAGAGATTACCACAGTTTAGATAAGTCTATGTTAAAAGTGTATAGAAACATAATTTGTTAACCAAATGAGCTCTTCATTATAAAGTTAAGCAGTAGTTGCCTGGGGCCGGATTTCTGGCCAATTGCATCTCCTGGAAAGAAAAAAAAAATTGAAAATTTATACCAGCTCTACAAAGGGAATAGTAAAAAACAAGTGAGCAGAGACTATTAGCAACATGATCTAACTTCTAGAAGGAGACAAAGGTTTGCTGCCCCCTGAGAGGAAGAAGATCTTATATGAGTTAAGAGTACAATGGGCCAAGCGTGGTGGCTCATGCCTGTAATCCCAGCACTTTGGGAAGCCGAGGCAGGTGGATCACGATGTCAGGAGTTCAAGACCAGCCTGGCCAAGATGGTGAAACCCTGTCTCTACTAAAAATACAAAAATTAGCCGGATGCAGTGGCAGGTACCTATAATCCCAGCTACTCAGGAGACTGAGGCAGGAGAATTGCTTGAATCAGGGTGGCAGAGGTTGCAGTGAGCCAAGATCATGCCACTGCACTCCAGTCCAGCCTGGACGACAGAGTGAGACTCCGTCTCAAAAAAAAAAAAAAAAAAAAAAAAAAAAAAAAAAAAAGTACAATACTCCTAGTATTGCCTAATGCAAGTTACCAAGCTAGCGTGTAGATGCTGTAGATGGAGTGAAGACATTTCTCCTTGCCTACAATGTCCAATTATGGATATTTTCTCTTCTTTCTCTCCCATGTGTCTGTAGATGGACCCGGGATAATCTCCCAATTGTGAAAGCCTCTTTCTTCAGATAACACTGTCCTCTGCCACCTCTTGGAAGGTCTACACAGGAGATCCTAGGCTGCTTCATGTGTGTTATGTTTGGCCCTCACTGTGTCAGCTTGCATAGAATATTTTTAAATTTTGAGTTAGCTGTTACTATTTAAAATTCAAGAGATTTAATATAAAATTCAAGATGCCTGATAACGCTAGTAATCCGGGACTGAATTCCCACATGGTGACTTTTGGCTTAAGCTAAATAACCCCTGCTGCCTTTAAAGGAGGCAAGAGCTCTACAATACTCTAGTATCTCTACTCCCTGTTGCCTTGTTAACACTGAGACTGGGCATTTAATTTCAGATTTGCCTTGATGTTTTCCTTGGACTTAAGAAGCAAGTGGCATATTTCCAACTCCCAGCCTGTTTTACTTATTCATTTTTCCTGCCGTGCTCCCTTTAAAGATTGGAATTTGTAACCTCTAACTAGCAGAACCAAGTTTTAGCCAAAGCATCAAAGTTAGAAAGGGACTTTCTTGGACTTATTTTTTGTGTCCTAGTAGGTTAAGATTCAGGTATCATCTTAGAAGTGAGAAATCTAGGAGTCTCCTTAGCCTGCTTCAGCCTTGGCAGAAGGAATCTGAAAATGCCCAGTGTGTCAAGTCAGGGATGGGTCTGGACTGAAGACCCAGCTAGTGTGCATTTAACAAAGAAATTGAACATGGGTTATCTGATTTGTTAGGCTTTGGTCACATGTAACAAAAAGAAACATATCCAAAATGCTCTAACCAAAAAGAATGCATTGGCTAAACAATCAAAAACTGCAGGAATCAGTCTGGCTTTAGGTGTAGCTAGATCAAGGTTACAGATGACACCACCAGCCTGAGAGATTTCTGTCTTTCCATCTTTTGGCTCTGCTTCTTCTGACTTCACTCTCAGATGGCCACCCTACCTCATGGTCACAGATGGCTGCTATCATGCCCAGGGGCACATCGTCATCCAGTAGGAGAGAGGACTTACCTTTGTCCTAGCATTCTAGCAAAAGCCTACTTGCATTACATCATCTTTGCTAGGGACAGAGTGAACCCAGTCTCTGTGACCAGGGAAATGACAACAAGACACCAGTGACAGGTGAGATGCTCTGCCAAAAGCAAAAATGGTTGGAGCCAGAAGAATAATTCCCCCAGATGGAAATCAAGATATAGTTACCAGGAGAGGAGTGAATGGATCATGGATAGCATCCATAGCTGGGTTCAACTGCACCTAGACAGCTTCTTAAAAGGCAAACTCTTCAACTGCGGCCCTGCCCAGATATTCTGATTCATTAGATGTGGAGCTGAGCCCAGGAGTCTTCTTATTTAACAAGATCCCCAGGGATTCTGAGGCAAGAAGTCATTAATTCAAACTTTGTGAAACACTTTGAGACTGCAGTGTCTTATTACAACTAACAATAAATTTATAATTATATGCCAGGAACTGTATTGTGTTTTATAGGCATTATTACAAATAATCCTTAAACAACTCTGTGAAGCGGATACCATTATTATGTCCATTTTTGGGCAAAAATGTGAAGCTTAAAAAGTTTAATAATTTGCTCAATGACACATAGATAGCAAAGGGCTGAGCCAGAACTCAAACCCAGTGTTGTTCGTACCCTACTATAATGCCAACATTCCTTCGGATTTCACATAAAAATTAAATGAATGAGATAAAAGTGTCAAGACTGTGTGTGCCCTCAGTAAATATCAGTTTGTTTCTTTTTTAATCTGTGCATTAAATCATAAAAGATCAAGTAACAATTTCTTTTTCTAGCATTTTATTGCTGTGGCTGATCCATTGAGAACTTTCACTATGGGCTCCCTCATTACCTTCGCAACAGATACTATCCAATGCTGGAAAACTGTATTCTTCAGAATGTTTGTGATGCCCATGGCTGCTGATATTTTCATTTGATGGTGGTGCTCAGGTATTGGAAAGATGGGAACAGAAAATACATTTGTTACATGATCATTATGTGGTAGGCATATTTTAGAAAATATTTTGCCAAGTTTTAACAACAATGCTACATTGTGTAGATGAAGAAGTTATTTTCCCAAGGCCACTCTGCCCAGAAACGTAGAGAGTAGAGGATCAGAATTTGAGCTTCTACTATGCCCCAGTGACTCCACAACTTGTGTGCTTTTCTGGATATGTCATTTCCTTGTAAAAGTATAGCCCCCATCATAGATATAAATTGGTGCTGACTCTGCTTGAGTGAACTTTATTAGTGAAAACCTCAGTATATTTGGCATATTAAATGCTCAAAACTGAAGCAGAAGAAATCATCAAATGTGAAGAAGGAGCACTGGCAATTTTACTGATGAGCCCTACAATACTGGAACAGTGTTGATTATAACAATGATAAACACATCTTCTTTTAAATATAATTCTAGTTGACCTTTTTCTTACTCTAGGCTAGAAATCAGAAGTTCAAACTAGTCAAATGCTAATGCAATAAGTTATCGAATAAGTAGGACATCACAGGTTTTGAATGCATATCAGATTTTTCTCTTTTTCCTGAGATAAAAAGAATCATCTGAAATCGTCTGCTGGGTGAGAGCAAGTTCTTATTAGAGGAATGTAATACATTTATGATGAAGATAGGGGTTTTGCAAAGTTGCCTTTCTCATTTGCTTTGCATTCAATTCCTTCAGAAGAATGGGAGAAATTCAGTTGAATAGGAAAGATATCACTGAAGTTCCAGAACTCGATCAATTATCTAACAATATTAAGAAACTGAATATATTTTCTTATGCAATCCATTTTATCTTTCCAGGTCAGTTAACATTGTTCCTTCTGAGGCATAGATGGAAATTTTTTGAGTTTTTCCAAAACTTTCCAGAGCTCAGATATCCTATATTTTCTTTCCAGTAGTCATCAATGTTCTGAAAATGGCAGTAATTTTTATTCAACCTGTATAAGCCACTTTCACCATGCACCTGGAAGCAACATCCACATCTTTTTCAGGTAATAGCTTTCAAATATTCATTCATAAATATTGCGATTGTTAAGAAATACTAAGTAACTAGAAGTGAGTTACATATTCTCAAAATGGCTAGAAATTCACTCCAAAATTCTGCAAAATTGTTTGAGGATAGTACAGATAACATTGATGCTATTCTCCTTCCTCATGGCCCAAGCTCAGACATTGAGAAGTAGATAACCAAAATGAAACAAAACACTTACGTTCCCCAAATTTTTCTAAAAGACACTCTTTAAACTAAAAAGAATTTTTTTCCCTCTGGAATTGGAATTATAAATGGCAATTACAATCCCAGATTAGCCCACAGAAGCCTAACCATCAATACCAAGTGTGTGAATGCTGGCAGCTGGCAGAAGGGAAGGAGACAGGAAATTATCCCTTCTGAGGCAAAAAGCTGGCTTTATATAAAGTTGTTATTTAGGCAAAGATTTTCTTTCGTACCACTATTCTTTTTTTTCTCCTCAACTCATCAACCACATTCCTAGTTTTCCTCTGTCCACTATGAAGGACTCTGACCACATTCTGACTCTGATGATCCTGCCCAGAATTGACCTGAACCCCAATAATTCACCTTTCTCTCAGGTAATCTTTTCAAATCCAAGTAATCTTAAAAGGTCCAATTCATACAGCTGTTTTTCTAGAATTTCTTTTTTTACTCAACCCTTAGCTCCAACTCTTGTCTTTCTCTAAATAGCTACAGTGAGTACTATTTCAATAAGCTATTTAGTATGTAAACATATCCTAGCATTATTGTTACAGGAAAGGGGTCCCAATTCAGACCCCAAGAGAGGGTTCTTAAACCACAGGCAAGAAAGAATTCAGGGCGAGTCTATAAAGTAAAGTGAAAGCAAATTTATTAGGAAAGTAAAGGAATAGAAGAATGGCTACTCCATAGACAGAGCAGACCTGAGAGCTGCTGGTTGCCCATTTTTATGGTTATTTCTTGATGATATGCTAAATAAGTGGTAGATTATTCATGCCTCACCTTTTTAGACCATATAGGAGAAGTTCCTGACATTGCCATGGCATTTGTAAACTGTCATGTTTCTGGTGGGAGTGTAGCATGGAGGACGACCGAAGGTCTCTCTTGCCACCATCTTGGTTTTGGTGGATTTTAGTTTGCTTCTTTCCTGCCACCTGTTTTATCAGCAAGGTCTTTATGACCTGTATCTTGTGCCAACCTCCAATCTCATCCTGTGACTTAGAATGCCTTAACCATCTGGGAATGCAGCCCAGTAGGTCTCAGCCCCTGTTCAAGATGGAGTTGCTGTGATTCAAATGCCTCTGACATTATGACACTGTTTACTGACTTGAATCATTAGTTAAACATGTATTGTATCATGTATTGTATATAGGTTTTATGTCTGTATATATTATCTCCTCCACCATTATAAATTGTACAGCAAAGGATAAACCTTGCCAAAGAGAGGTCTGGTCTTGGCAGTTGGCTCCTGGGAGGCAACCTCTAAGCCTATGGAGTGTCCTGCCTGATTAGAACATCTTCGTTTACTTGGGGTCTGCGGCCATAGGGACCTCAGACTACAAGGTGTCAGATTGACCTCTGGAAGTGCTGAAAACTAAGATTAGCCATATAAGTAGTGGCTGGGTGACTGGATTACAATAAAAACTCCAGACTCCAAGGCTCAAATGAGCTTCCCAGTGGGCAATGTTCCATGTGTATTTTCACATATTGTTCCTGGAGAAATAGGTACTGCACACATGGCTTCACTGGGAGAGGATAACTGGAAGCCCTGTGCCTTAAGGTCTCTGAGCCCTGCCTTGTGTGCCTCTTTCCTCTGCTGATTTTAATCTGTATCTTTTCACTGTAATAAACTGTAACCATGTGTGTAACAGCTTTCTGAGATCTGTGAGTCCCTTTAGAGAATTATCTAACCTAAGGGTAGTCTTGGATCCCTGATCTCACAGTACGTGTGAGAAGTAAAGGTGGTCTTGGGGACTCCTGAGCTCTGCATACTAATAAAGGGAAGGGACTGTACTAAGTCATACTTGTACATATACATAGTCAAAATGCCTAACACAGAGTTTAGGACACATTGTTGAATAATGATTTAATTACATTAACAACTTACTGTTCATTCTTGTCCTTGAACTACACTTCCATAGCACTTTACTTAAAGATAACTCCTTATGTCTAAGGCAGTAAAGAGTGAAAAAGAAAAATAATCTGAGTAAATATGCTGAGTGTTAAGGAATTCTACAGTACCTGGTGATAACAATGACCACTTACTGAGAACATATAAAGCACCAAGTATGGTGTTAGTCTTTTACTTGCAATAACTCTTCATTCTCATGGCAACCATTTGAAGCATCATTGTTAAATTTGCCTATTTTACAGATGAGAAAACTGATACACAATTTTTAACGAAGATGCATATTTAATCATTAATATCAACTTTTAAAAATCCACATACCCTTTATCTGTTTATAGCCACCACTCCATTTCCCCGTGCTGCTTCACAGCAAACTTCACTGCAAAATCCCTCCCACAGGTTGACTACATCCTTGTCTCCCCTTCCTCATTTCCAACTAACTCCTTCACCTACTGCAGCGACTTATCTCTACCTTTCCATCAAAATGGTACTCATCAAGGTCTACAAATATTTTCATGTGGTCAAATCCAGCAAACATGTCTTAGTTTTTCATGCTACTCATCCTCACAGTTTATCGTGTACTCCTCCTTTAAATATTTTTTTTTTCTTTTGGCTTCTGATTTTTCTGTTACTTACTGAACTTAATTAGTCTTTGATGACACCTTTTCCTCCATCTAAACTCACGGTTAAATGTTGGCCTGACCAAGGCTTCCTTTGGGCCTCTTTGCTCTTCTGTGTATACTGTATCCTTAGGTAATCTCATTGCCTTGACTTACAAACATCCATACAGTGATGATGCTCAAATTTTCAGTAAAAATCCAGACATCTTCCCTGTGCTTCAGGCTCAAAAATCTATGTTTCCTCACTTATTCCTCTTATCAACATCACTGTGTAGAGGAGAATATGGAAATAGGAAAGGCAGAAGCTCACGCTCTTGGTGCCTCTGTGACATGATGTGGCATCAAGGGAATCTTCACCCTTCTTACTCCAGTCATGACCCAGGATATTTGTGTTCAACTGGAGTGGGTAAGAAAATTGTAAGTCAACATAATTGTTTTTTATAAGGAGTTCTTAGTGCTTGACTCATATATGTACATACATTATATAGTGGCATTTTATGTGATATTTTATACTTTTAAAATATTTAGATCCAATTCAGCTTTCTAAAAATTGGTGTGACTATTAAACAAAGTCATAGTTTTTATCACAATCTTAGCATGAAATCCAATTCCCTTTTAGTAGTCTACAATGTTACCAAGTACTGCTTTTCCCCGCCAGCCCCCACCCACCACTGGCCTTCTTTCTACTTCTTATTTGTTATTTCCTACTCAGAATATTGGTACTTGCTTTTTTCCCTCTGACTGGAATACATTTTTTCCCTCATCTAGCATGGCTGACTCCTTCTCAATCTTGAGGTCTCAACTCAAACGTCATCCCCTCATGAAGGCTTTCCCTGACCCCTGTTTCCACTCAAATAGGAGCCCTTAATTACCCTATATTACATGACTATGCTTACTCCCTTTACAGAACCTACCACAATAGATAATATTTTTCATTGTCTTCCCACATCTCAACATGAGCTCAAGGAGAATAGGTTCCTTGTCTGCCTTGCTCACTGCTGTACTGCAGCACCTACAATAGTGTCTGACCCCCAATAATTAATTTGTTCCATGGATTTGTTTTACTAGGCCCCTATGCCAGGATTTGAACTTGAGTTGAATGTGACCCCAGAATTTAAGCTCTTAAATACCCCGCTTGGCTAACATTTCATCTAAAGCAAGCGACAGAAGATAGTGAGGAGATGACAACAGTTGCATCAGTCAGGGAAGATTTCCTGGAGAAGATGTGAAAGATTTGGATACAGGTAGAAACTTAAGGAAGAATATTTTAGGCCAAGTGAACACACAGAACTAGAAACTAGAAATAAGCTGGATTTATGAGGTAGATGACTAGAAAATCTTAATTATAACGTTAATTGTTATTATAATGGAATTAATATTGAACAGTCGCAACATAGCCTTTTGGTGGAAAAATTTAATTCAATCCTATTTTCTCCCAGTTTCCATGCCAAATTTAAGTTACTTTGGGAGCTGATGAGTTCACATGTACATTTATACATATAAATGGCAAAGCTGCAACCTTCAAACTCAGGGTCAGCATCTGTTATAGGAGATGAGATAAGGGCTGCTGGTTGCAACCCACTAATGCCTGAAAGTTGTTTAAAACCCAAAATCCAGAAACTGGGCATCCTCCTCTCTATTTATTTTGCTTTGAGCTATGTCAGAATATTCAGCATGGCTGATGCTAGTGGAAAGAGCGATGGAACTGGGTGAGGGAAGGAGGTGGCAGAGAAAAGGTTGTACAAACAAAATATTTTCACTTTGCAAATAAAGAGACTTAAGCATTCTCCAAAATGTTACCGCTTCTATATTTTTCATCTTGTTTCCTAGAACATGTCACTTCATTTTGAAGTCTAGTGTTGTTAAATAGGAAAGCCTAATTGATATATAGAAAGAAGTATTAGTCACCTCACCCAAATGCCTGGGAAAATATCCTTAGCTATACAACTCATGACTCACAGATGAAGCTGAGGGCCAACATAAACTAAAACTCTTACTCAGGGATAATGAAGCATGAAATGGCACTTTAGAATTCAAATTACATTGAGAGAAAATGCCTTTCCAAAGTACAAAAAAAAAAAAGGGTTGAAATGTTGAGTCAAACTATATACGGTACATTTTCACAGGTTACTAGACAATATATATTATGCTGTGTAGAGAGGTTATTTTTCTTCCAAATTAAATGTCTTTGCTTTTCTCAAATGTTACAATATTTTCTAATAGTTTTTTATGAAAACAATTGAATGATAGGTTTGAATTAAAATCATTTTTTCAAAAAAAAATGCATCTGGGCCTGGAATTTTAGTACATCATTTAGTTATTGTTGTCCAATTCAAATATATGTTCCTTGAGCTACCCTCATAAAATATTTTAGACCTTTCTGCTTCTTGGTATGTCATGTGTATGTAGGTCCTTTGAATTTATTTATTTACTTTCCAACCAATAACCTAAAAACTTCAACTATTCCACAACTTTCTCCAAATATTAAAGAAATATGGGCCAGGTGTGATAGCTCACGCCTGTAATCCCAGCACTCTGAGAGGCCGAAGAGGGCAGATCACGAGGTCAGGAGATCAAGACCATCCTGGCCAACATGGTGAAACCGCTTCTCTACTAAAAATACAAAAATTAGCTGGGCGTGGTGGTGCATGCCTGTAATCCCACCTACTTGGGAGGCTGAGGCAGGAGAATCGCTTGAACCAGGGAGTCAAAGGTTGCAGTGAGCCGAGATTGCACCAACACACTCCAGCCTGGCAACAGCGTGAGACTCCATCTCAAAAAAAAAAGAAAAAAATATGTTAATGTCTATTAAGTAAATAATTTATACATACAAAGCCCAAAGGAACTATTC